CGCAGAATTCTGACTTTAATCGCAGAATTCTGACTTTTTTCTCAGAATTCAGACTTTTTTCTCAATAACGTCGAATAATGTCGCTCCCGTAACAGGCGACGTTATTCTCAGCTCAACAGAGGAAACCCGGAGGACAGAATCGAAGCAGAGGCGGATTTAGGAAATTTGGGGCCCTGGGCAAATACAGGCATGGGGCCCTCTGAATTGAGAAGACAACTGATAATACAGACCCATTATAGAGATACAAAAATTTAAATAGCATAAACAAACATTATTTATTAAATTTTGACTGCCTTAACAATTTTTTATATTTTTATTTTATGTCTAGGGAAAAATAACAATTCAAGATATCTTTAATCACATTTTGGAGAGTCAAAACGCATTTTGAGATATCTCAAATGACGTCATCTGATTTGTCATTTAAAGTGTCACACATCAGGAGTTATAATCAAGATATTTAATTTAATTTGAACTAGTCAAAACTATGTTTTTTTTTAAAATCCCCCTGGTGCTGTCACTGAGCTGAACAGTTGCCTACAGAATGGCTCCAATGGAAATGTTCTGTGCATTATTTCCAAGGAAGGAGATCACAGTATAATTAGTTATTAATGTGATTGAATAAATGTTGTTAATAATCAAATATTTCCCCTCCTCCTCCTCTTCTTCATGATTTTCGTCCTTGTGAACCAGGAGTTGACCAAACGTGAGGCGGAGTACGTGGCGCTGTCCAGGGACACCACAGAGACGGACCTGAAGCAGAGGAGAGAGATCCGATCAGGAACGGCCTTCTACATCGACCAGGTGCAGCATGGCTCCTCCCACTGATCTCTATTTATTCCCTGGATTGCTGATTGAAATGAAGCCGCCGGCCGCCATATTGGTACTCCCTGGTTAGAGCGGTTGCAATGTAAACAATATGTGCGCTACAGCATCGAACAACGATGATGTTCTCATTTTTAGGGGGAATTAAGACTTAAAATAAAGATAAATGAATCACTTTTACACAGACTGACTGATTCAGAGCATCTGTATAAATATCAGCTGTGATCAGCGGGTAGAAAGTAGTTAGAATCTATGTTGAAGTGAGAAAGTCCTCCTGAAAACATGGTCTGTGCAGTCAGTTCATCCAGATTACCATCCTGCCTTCAAAGATTATTTCTCTGTGGGAGCCGCTCACTAACCTGACTCCACCATTATGATTTGCTCCGCATAT